TCAGCTGTTTGAGCCACTCAGGTATTCAGACGTTCAGACCAGGAAATTATGAGAATCGTTTTGTAAATGTTGATTTTCAGATTATTTAAATTTACATTTTTCACCGTTGCATTGAAATTTATTTAAATTCTTGAAAACTGTGTGGTCTTTAAATTACAGGAGGATTAGAGCCACGGTGCAAAAATTATTTTTCCCTTAACTCTGAGATTAAAACCAGAATTAGATAGATGGATTCTGACTTTAATCTCAGAATTAAAATAAAAAATTATTGCGCAGTGGTCCCAATCCTCTTCCAGATAAAATCTCCACTTCAGTAAACTTACGTTATGTTTCTTTTAGTTTTTTGTTTCTTTCCTCATTTTAGCTTTTTGCTGCCGTTCTCCTGGTTTTAGCTTGTAGCTAGCGCGCTGAAGTTTTTTGCTTTCAGCTGTTTTTGAGTCGTTTCATCTTGTAGCTGCTGTTCTGCTGGTCTCGCCTCGTGTCCAGAATGTTTCAGCAGTCTTTCAGCGTTGACGTGTCTCTATCGGCTGAACGTCTCGTGTTGGTTGCAGGTTGTCCACCAGCATCTATCAGCTCCATAACTTCCGCCAGATGCTGCAGGAGCAGAGGTAGCAGCAGCTTCACGAGGCCGACGGGCAGCTCTTCTGGACACCAGGCCCGCTCCCCACCCCCATCTTGATCCCAATCGCCTGGATGTGTTTGTTCTTGCTCCTTCTGGTGAACGATGAATATAAATGTGCTGCCGTTCATCGCCTTCACCAGATGATTCTGAAAACTTCACCCGACAGCGTCTTTATTCTGCTGCCCGGCTCTTCTCCCCGACCCGTTCTGGGCTCCTCTGAGCAGCTGGTTCTGATAGTCTGTGGTCGACGAGCTGCAGGAGGTGAAGACGTGGAACATGAACTGGACTGAGCCTCGCTACCCTCACACCAAGGTTCTCGTACGGATCGGATGTTCTTGAACTTGGACCGCCCACGTTCAGCTGCCTACTTTATTTATTCTTTGTTCCTCTCGTGTGGACTCTGAGGATTCTGGACCAGTTTGTGTCTCTGCAGGAATCAGTGTTTGTGTGTGCGCACGTGACGTGGCTCATGTTTGTGGACAGGTTTTGCACTAACAGGCTGTTACTCACTGTCTGAGGTCCAGAGTCCAGAAACGGGCGGAGCTGATCCACGGTGACCTCACAGAGTCTCAGTCCTGGTTTCAGACTCATCATCTTCTGGTTTCATCACTAACTCGGCTTCAAGGATAAATATTACAAGTTTTATTTTTAATTTCTCAGATCCGACAGGCCCACATCGTCTGTTCAGCAGGAGGTTCTAGTCCACATGACGGTTCCAACAGAACCTTCTGAAAATGGTACCGTGACGTTAACCGGTGCTAAAACGTGACATCATAAACAGGAAACACCGAACAGACGATGTAAACGTGAGGCGTTCAGGGCCCGGCGGACCTTTGGTCTGCAGGAGCTTCACGTTGGAGATCTTTGATCACATCAAGTCGTCCCTGAACTTACGGCATTCTTCACCTTTTAATGTTTTAATTCTTGAGCGTGATCTTTGTTCTGAGCGCTGAGCTTTTCATGATGGAAACAAACGTTGCAGCCAGAAAACTTGAGAGAGCAGCTGTTACGACTTCAGTTTCCCTTCACGTCCTGGAGCCGCCTTAAAGTAGGAAAATGTAACGATTCAGACGTCCCAGTCTGTTGTAGGAACCCATGCAGCGTTTAGCCTGCGTGCGTGCGTGCGCGCGTGCGTGCGTGATGATCAAAGTGAATCAATGAGCCACGTTTCATTAATTGTTCTGTTTAAAACGTTGTGTCTCGTGCAGCTTTAAAATAAAACGTGCACATTACACATGGAGACGAGCAGCTCCGTTGGGAATCGTTCTGACTGTTGGTAGTAGTCCAACATCCATCCATCCATGCATCCATCATCTTTACCTGCTTGTTTCTGTCCTGGTCTCGGGGCAGCTGGTGTCTTATGTCCAGCAGTCACTGTGAGAGGTGGGGGACACCCTGGACAGACCTGTCCATCATGGGGACACAGAGTCACTAGTTAACCTAACATGCATGTTTATGGTGTGTGGGAAGAAACCCTCACGCTACGAGACGTAAACCTACAGGAAGGCCTCGAGCCAGGAGGCAATGCTGCGACCTCTTCACTGAGAGGTGACCGCTCTAACCACTGCACCACCGTGTTGCCAAAGAAATGGTGATCTAAAGCCCCGTTTGGAGGTCCACAGTAGAAACATCGTTTAAAGTTTAAACACGTTACAGAAAGTTGGACTTCACATGAATGAACTGGCATTTTCATGTTTTTATCGTTTTTTTGGCACGGTGGCTCAGTTGGTAGAGCTGCTGCCTCTCAGCGAGAAGGTCGCCGGTTCAAATCCCAGCCCAGGATCTTTCTGGGTGGAGTTTGCATGTTCTCTCCGTGCTATACTCCGGTTTCCTCCCACAGACCTAAAACATGCATGTTAGGCTGACTGGTAACTCTAACTTGTCCCTAGGTGTCCCTGTGATGGACTGGAGATCAGTCCAGGTGTCCCCCATCTCTCACAGTGACTGCTGGACATTGGACACCATGTGATCCAAAAAGAAAGAAGCGGGTAAAGAAGACGGATGGATGGATGGATGGATGGATGGATGGATGGATTTTTCCCTGGAATGTTGTTTGTTCTCTTGGGGGGTTGCCACAGCCGTTCATCCTCCTCCATAGAAGGTTCCACTGGTTAAAAACAACAAAGTCCATGCTCAATAATCCAGGTATACACTCCAACATTTTTCAGTCAGGTCATGTGACGATGTCTCACCACGTTTTCATTTGTCTGAAATGTTTTACACCCAAACTTCAGTCCCACGTCTCTTAGTTTCTGTTCAGGTTAAACTTGGAATCGTTGGATGTTCGTCGTCTTTGGCCCGCTCAGCCTCTCGCTGTGAATGTGTGCACCCAAACGTGCACACATTCACTTCCATTTGTTAAATCTGCTCCAGGTTCACGTGTGAACATGGATCATCTGCCACTCACGGTTTAGGAGTTTTTAGATTAGTCTCAGTTTTCACACAGTGACTGTTTAATTATTTATTAGGCTTTTTTTTTTTTTTTTCCGTGCCTCTCGTTAACTTGGCGTCCAGAGAGTGACAGACAGGAGTGTGGTTACCATGGTGACCACACTGGTCACAACTAGTTTTTATTTTATATTCCACGTAATAAACGTTGTTCCCTCAGACGAGACTTGTTGAAATAAAATTTTGAATCCTGCTAAACTGAAACTAATCGCTCAGTGACTTTAAAATCTGCTTGTGTAATTTAAACGAGTAGGCTGCAAGAGTGTGCACAGCTCCTCTTAAGGTTGTTATTCACAGAAAATGTTTACAAAAACTCTTCACCTTCGCATCTTCATCTTCTGGGATGTCCTGATGTACGCTCATCCAGGTAAACGATAAAAAGTGAAGTCAGGTCCTCTGAACACATTCTTCTTGTTGAAACGTTTCCTATTTAATCCAAAGGACTTCTTCAGTCTGAGGAGCTGCAACAAACTCAGTCTTATGAACAGCACCTTCTCATGGTGGATGAATTAAGATTATTGACATCCAGAACTAGCTGCTCACATGTAAAACTGGTTGATCCACCATGAGAAGGTGCTGTTTATAAGACGTGAGTTTGCTGCAGCTCCTCAGACTGAAGAAGTCCTTTGGATTAAATATGAAACTTTTGAAGAAGAATCCATCCAGATGACCTGTTTTAACGTTTTAGATTTTTCTACCTGGATTACTGAGCAGCATCTTTCTTTAAGTAGGATTCTGTTTTTGAAAGAAAAATGTTCGTAAATCTTCATCTTTGTTTGAACATCCGTCCTTCGTCTTTTAGCCGCTGCTTCCAACAACAAAAAGCCCCGAAGTTGTTGTTTTGATGCGCATCAGCATCCAGCTTAAATAAACAAACAAACAAACAAACACAAACAGGACTGCAGCTCTCTGTTCTTTGCACGTTTCAAACTCAGAAAATTAAATCGTGTGTGGAGGGAAAGTTCCTTCAGGAGTCGTTCCTCTTCAGATGTTTTTCTTTGCAACGATCAGAAAACGTCAAAACGTTTAATTTTCATCGTGTTTCTCTTCATGGTCTTCGTTCTTCTGCTTCCAGTCTTCAGTTTTCTGTTTAAACGAATAAAAAAGTGCATCCTGGTCCGTTTCCTGTTTGGAACGTTAAATAAATCCTTTGTTGTGACGACCTTTAACAAATTAAAACACGTTGAATGAGCTGCTGAGCAGAGAACGAAGCGGAGACGAAGAAACATCGAGACAAAATGTTTGTTCGTAGAAGGAGAACATTTGTCTGAGCAGCAGATTCTGCTCAGATCATCGTGTTGACCTCCAGCTTCCATCCCAGGAACATGATCCAGTTTACACCCTGAAGAACATCCAACCGTCTGTCCATCCATCCAACCATCTGTTCATCCATCCAACCATCTGTTCAGCCATCCAACCGTCTGTTCATCCATCCAACATCTGTTCATCCCTCCAACCATCTGTTCAGCCATCCAACCGTCTGTTCATCCATCCAACCATCTGTTCATCCATCCATCTGTTCAGCCATCCAACCGTCTGTTCATCCATCCAACCGTCTGTTCATCCATCCAACCATCTGCTCATCAAACCAACATCTGCTCATCCATCTGTCCATCCGTCCAACCATCTGTTCATCCATCCAACATCTGTTCATCCATCCAACATCTGTTCATCCATCCAACATCTGCTCATCCATCCAACATCTGTTCAGCCATCTGTCCATCCATCCAACCATCTGTCTATCCATCCAACATCTGTTCATCCATCCAACATCTGCTCATCCATCCAACATCTGTTCAGCATCCAACCATCTGTCCATCCATCCAAACGTCTGTTCATCCATCCAACATCTGTTCATCCATCCAACCGTCTGTTCATCCATCCAACATCTGCTCATCCATCCAACATCTGTCCATCCATCCAACCATCTGTTCATCCATCCAACATCTGCTCATCCATCCAACATCTGTTCAGCCATCCAACCATCTGTCCATCCATCCAACCATCTGTTCATCCATCCAACCGTCTGTTCATCCATCCAACATCTGTTCATCCATCCAACCATCTGTTCATCCATCCAACCATCTGTTCAGCCATCCAACATCTGTTCATCCATCCAACATCTGTTCATCCATCCAACCATCTGTCCATCCATCCAACATCTGTTCAGCCATCCAACCATCTGTCCATCCATCCAACATCTGTTCAGCCATCCAACCATCTGTTCATCCATCCAACCGTCTGTTCATCCAACATCTGTTCATCCATCCAACATCTGTTCATCCATCCAACCATCTGTCCATCCAACATCTGTTCATCAAACCATCTGTCCATCCATCCAACATCTGTTCATCCATCCAAATCATTCTCCATCCATCCTATCCATCTGTCAAACCATGTTCATCCATCAACCATCATACCATATGTTCATCCATCCATCCATTATCTTTACCTGCTTCTTCCTTTTCGGTTCACTGGTGCCCATGTCCAACCATCACTGTGCAGGCAGGGGACACCTGGACAGGTCTCCAGTCCATCACAGGGACAAATGAGACAACCGTTCTCTCTCTCTCACCTAGGCACAATTTAAAGTAACTAATCAGTGCAACATGTTTTGGTCTGTGGGAGGAAACTGGAGAGAACATGCAAACTGCACCAAGAAAGTCCCAGGCCGGGATTTGAACCAGCGACCTCCTCTCTGAGAGGCAGCAGCTCTACCCCCTCACATGCCCCCCTAAAGAAAACACTGAAACTCAGAAGACACAACTACAGATGCAGAACATTTAGTTTGTACCCTTTGGTCAAATAATGAAAATCTCAGCGAAACAACGAATCGGACGAAAACATTTTTAAAAGTTCACTAAAAATCAGTGAATAAAAACATGTTGCCATTTCATTTTAGATTAACAAAACTTATTTGAATAAACAAACGAATGAAACTGGCCTTGACCCAAAGGATTGTGTCCTCAATGAGACTTACTGTAATTTAAATGTAGCTCTTCGCCGTCGCTGCTGTGGGAGCTTCAGAGATGTCGTCTTCCATCAATCAGTCGCGTGTCGCTGAAAACCTGCGAATGTTGAACTGCCAAGTATCGAGGGACTACCGGTGCTGTACTAGTTAACTGCATTCTGTTGCCCTATTGTGTACTGACAATACAGTTTAATCTAATCTAATCCAAGCTTTTATCCCTTCTAGGCTGGACTATTGTCATTTTTAATGACTGGGTGTCCAAAATGTCCCAAAAAAGTCCAACTGCGCACCCTCTCCGTAATTTTACGTTTTTTATTTCGAAGCCACATTCAGACATTAAATCTTTGTATAACCAGCAGGGGAATTAAAAAAAAAAAAAAAAAAACACACTTTCGTTTCTTAAACCTCAAATATTTACTTACTTACTTATTTACATTTTTATTTATTTGTTATTTTTTACAACTTCTAAATGTCATTTTTCTGCTGCGCTTCATCTGTATCTTGTTAACAAAGTAAACGTGAATAGTTTATATGAAGCTAAATGCAGATGTTTGAAGTTTCAAAGGTGGAGCGGGACTAATGTCCAGTCTGAGGTCTGAGAGAAGATCCACGTCTTGTTGGTCCCGATCAGGACCAGCGGACCAGAACTTGGTCTCCATCCTCAATTGAGTAAAAGTGAAGCGTCTTCAGGTCGTTGTTGAGCTTGAACTCTGTCCCTTCCACCTGTTGGAGGGAGAATTAATCATGAGACAACCTTCACTATGAACTGGGCAATTCTCAGCAACTCCACTGTTCCCAGTAACAACACACAGCTGAAACCAGATGCTTGCATACAC